TGTCCGAGATGGGGCGAGCTGTGGCTCGCTGCATGGCGAATGCCGAATGTGTGGAGCCGCCTTCACCCACCGCGTGTCAGTCTTTAGGACACATCAAATGGAGCGGACATTTGTCTAATACATCAGCTGATCGGGATTGGGTGAGCATTAACTCGCTGCTCGGCGAAAGCCGAATGTGTGTAGCCCGCCTCGACGGGAAGGAACTAAAGCGGTTCGGCAGGACCAGCGTCCGTCTAGTGTCCGTCCCGCGCGCTCTTATTGATCTCCGGGGCGGCACGGCCAAGGCACCCTGACTGCCCACAATAATTACCTTCCCGCTGCCCCTTCCCCTCTCCCTCCCTCCCTCGGCCGGAGCAGCGCCCTCTTCCCGACCGACCGCCCGCCGCTGGCCCGGGGCGTCGCCAGGCAACGCCCGACCAATGGCAGCGCTCCGCTCCGCGGCAGCCGCCAACGCCGCGGGTGGCAGGGGAGGGGCAAGGGGAGAGTTGACGAACGGACAAGAGGGACAGACGGACAGGCCAAAGGATGGACGGATGGATGCTTGCATGCATCCAAGTATGTACGCATGTGTGTATGCACGTAAGCATGCATGTATAAATGCATAAATGTATGTATGAATGAATAAATGTATGTATGAATGTACGTATGCATGCATGTGTGCATGTAAGTATGTATGTACGAAGGCATGCGTGTACGTATGCATGCATGCATGTACGTAAGCATGCATGTACGTATGCATGTATGTACGTATGCATGTACGTATGCATGTATGTACGTATGCATGTACGTATGCATACATGTACGTATGCATGCATGTACGTATGCATGCATGTACGTATGCATGCATGTACGTATGCATTCATGTACGTAAGCATGTACGTATGCATGTATGTACGTATGCATGCATGTACGTATGCATGCATATACGTATGCATGCATGTACGTATGCATGCATGTACGTATGCATGTATATACGTATGCATGCATGTACGTATGCATGCATGTACGTATGCATGCATGTACGTATGCATGTATGTACTATGCATGAATATACGTATGCATTCATGTACGTAAGCATGTACGTATGCATGCATGTACGTATGCATGCATGTGCGTATGCATGCATGTACGTATGCATGCATGTACGTATGCATGTATGTACGTATGCATGCATGTACGTATGCATTCATGTACGTAAGCATGTACGTATGTTTGCACGGACGGACTGACCAACAAACGCACGCACTGGTGGGCGCAATGATTGACGGACGAACAGACAGACGGGCGGATAGACCGACGGGCGGATAGACCGACGGGCGGATAGACCGACGGGCGGATAGACCGACGGGCGGATAGACACACGAGCGGATAGACACACGAGCGGATAGACACATGAGCGGATAGACGGACAGACGAACAGATACACGAACAGAAGGACAGATTAGGCGGGCAGAAGGACAGACGGGCAGATAGGAAGAAGGACAGACGGACGGTCAGACGGGTGGACGGTCGGACGGTCGGACGGTCGGAGGATCCTATCCAGCACACTTATTGACATTTTTATTTAACTTAGATTTATGAAATTTTGGAGATATAAATAACGACGATCTACTTCTCTGTGATGTAATACACACTTCAATGTCTGGCCATTCGCAATTGTAGTGTACCAATATTAAGCTACGTTCATTTTGGTAGCGATTATCACCCGGATATTATGACGGTCCTTGGCGCACTTCGCTGTTGAGAGTGCTTGCTACGGAAATTATGCCGGTAGCACGATATGCACATTGAAACAAAATAAATGTAAATTGCATACTGCTCACAATGATAATAGATGATGGAAATATTTCATTTGTCTGTGTGATCTGGTTGCTACCAACATACTAAATGCAATTGTTAACAGAGACACTCATTCGGGTTTGTGATGAGAGACTTTCCCGGCGCACTGTATATTAACGACATGCTATGGATAATCAATTATTCCTGTGTAAATAGTAGTGAAAAAATGATCATACTGTGTCCTGCAGCTTGGTTATAAATAAAGCCAGGAATTTTGTGTGTTGCACCTTCATTGTTCCTCTTATAAAATACTAAAACGAGTTTGTCTGGCGAAGAATACATGAAATGAATGAAAACCACAAATAAATTAACGTTTTACAAAATTTATTTATTAGAAGCGCTTCTTTTTAATGTCTTCCAAAATGGAATCGGATTTCTGGTTAAAAATTGTCCTACAAAAGATTTTGGTTAAAAATTGGTTTCGGATTTTTTTGTTTAAAAATTATCCTATAAAAGTTAAACAAGTAACATTGTTTAAATATCGCTACTTATTCTTACAACTTCCTCAGTTCCCACTAGATGTGTGTTTAGAATTTATTTGTAACTATTTCAAAGTTATATACAGTTGCTTAAAAAGTATAACCAAGGATTAAAAAGCTAAAGATCCAGTTGGTAAACAAAAGTGGTAATATTAACTATTTGTAGTGCATGGTTAATGTTTTCTAACAACAGTTATGAAACCCGTGGAAGAGCAACGTTCTGAAAAAGATGCAAAATAGGCTTTTTTGATCAACGTGAAAGAAGCCCAGCTGTGTATTGGAAGCAAAGATTGGATCAGAGTTAATACAAAATCCCAGGTGTTGAGGATGTTGTAACAAATAATGATATAAATTACCGAAGTGCAACAACGTCTGCAAACGAATATACAACACTGTCTGTTGGTATTGAATGTTCTTTTTGTCTATGAAAGTATTTATTAGTGATCAGGGATGTAGTCTCATTGAAAAAGACATTGAAATATTAATTGTAATTTGTGTCGGCAGTTTTCAGAACTTAGGACGTTCTGGGACATGCGTGTGGCAGATATTTCAAAACCAGATTGAATTTTTTTTCCCTTCTCGTGATGTCATTAGTTTAGCTGCTGTTTGTCAGAATATACACAGTCGAATCACGCATAATTTTTCTACAAACCAATGCCCGTTTTCGGGTAAATTAAATAACTTTTTTGCACATTTTTCTGCATTTTACACCTAAAATTACTCATGTTATAAATCACTGCAGAAATGATCAAAAAACTGAACAGATTGCAGTGAGCCGCGAAATTAAGTTCCAACATTTGAAGGATAATAGTAATTGTAATGTATTATTCGGTATATTCTTGATAAATTGGTAGATGAGTGGGGTAAACAGTTTCAAACTTATGACGTTATTGGGATGTTAGAAAGGGATATTCAAACTGGCCATATCGCCGGTCCATATGTAAAACTAAACATAAAACAAAGTTCATTTTGCTGAGGACTATTTCAGTTGTTTACTTTGCAGTCAAAGGCAAAGTGTTTTACTTCATATAATGGGTATTCCGTGAACCACCTTTATTAAAAGTACAGTACAATCTTTCTAAGCTGGAATTAATCGGGACGCAAAAAAAATCCGGTCTAGGAAGGCTTCCGTTTTATGGCACGTTGTCCATTTTACGAGACTTGGTATATTGACGTTTCTGCCCAGAAAGTATTAATTACATGACTTTATTATAATTAGCAAAATCCATTGACATTAAAAGTTATTATGGAAGAAATAACCAATGAATTATTAAACGCTTACTTGACTGCTTCTGAGTTAAAAATACCACCTTACTTACTGTTCTCAGACTGCTTGCTAACTCTTTCAACACTCAGTGCGTCACAACTCACTACTATGTCTTTCAGATACGCTCACATGTCCTTGCGTAATAGGTATGTGATTGTGGGGTTATGATTATCAACGCGGGATAGGGACACCCATTTCCTCGCTGAATACTGCCGTAAATAGAAGCTATTCCCTCACTCAGAGTCAGGAAAAAGAAAGGGAATTCCCCTAAGACCTACTTCTTGGGAGCCAAGCTATCCCAAGGTTGAATTCTACCCAGACAGCTGAAGTCCCTCTCCTTCAATATCAGGCATCTGATTAAATCGCGTATCACCAGGAGAACATTTCATATGCATTCATTTCGTTCAGAACATCTCGCGTCTCTCTGACAAATGCATTAAATTCATAGCATTTCCGATTTTGTGAGATTGTTTTCCCTGCAGGTCTTGAAAAATCGCTCCGTTTCCGCGTTGGAGAAGTTCCGTTTTATGCTGCGTAACATGCCATTTCATTACTCGGGCCGGAGATATTTTCCGGTAAAGGCAGGTTTTTGGCTTATACAAGTTCCGGTTTAGACAGATTTTACACTATATTAGTTAAAAAATATATATTTTGTAAAAGATTCTTTGTCAAAAGCGGATCATAATTTTTAAGAAGTGATACCTTGATGTTTAGGCGACGACATGGCCCTTGCAAACGGTGCGATCAGGGCACAGAAAGCGAAGGACATTGTCCTGGAAGACCGGGTTAGTTATGCTTTTAATAATGCACGATCGTTTAATAATACACGAGACTGCCTTGTTTAGATGATTTATAGTATTCTATAGTAAACCGAAGAAATGTGGTTGTGATTTTTTTTAAATTACCGCCATAAGCTAAAGACTATACACGTTTCTACTACATTCGTTTTTCTTATTTGCAGAAATCCCAGAAAATTCCGGAGTTTGAATACCAATTTGATGACTGACATGACGCCATTAATAAAATGGAACAGTAATTTACGGCGCATTTTTCATATTTCTACGTTAAGAAACTACAGGGAATATATGAAACTGTCGAGAGTGAGTATAGTGAAGAATGAAGAATCACAAATTAGAATATTGAAAATGTCAGATTTTTGTGATGATTTTTTTTCACTCAAAGTATTTACAATGAGAGTCAAGAACTCCATCAGTCTCTCGAATAAGAAAAGGTTATCAAAGTAAATTTTAATACGCGCACACGGACACACAATTTTAACACACGGACTTATGTTTAGTTCAACATTGTTGATTAGCTGAAGCTTAATAGTTAGGCGTTGTAACTAGTATTCAATCAATAAAATATTGAAGATAGAGTGATTTATTTTTAATTATTTATCTATTTAAAGTGTGAAATAATTTTTTCAAACAACACTTGTGCTATGGAAATTTTAAATATATTTCTAAGCATTCATATTACATACAATAATTACAACGTTACTATTTGCTTCCAAAAAAAGTGTGAAAGAACAGTCCGATCAAATAACTTGGTAAAATGTGAGCCTCGTAGACCAACCACCTGCCTACGTGCCTGACTGCCTGCTTGCTTTCCTGTCTGCGT